AAATCTATTGGAAAATTAATTCATATTGGTTTTTTTCTTTCGTTCCTTATAATAAAGATTTCGCTGTAACATCGAATTGAAATTTTAATTTTATAGATGGGTTTAGTGAGTACGCACCTCAGAAACGGCCTCATCTAGGATTTTAGATGTTTGACGTTTTATCCACAACGGACTATAAATATCAAACGTCTAATACTTAAATACCAATTTGTATTACCTGTTTGTTTTTAATAGTTTTAAATAGAGCATTTTTATTTTTCTATGTCCTTTGTCTTATGTACGAATTCTTATGTTAACTTTTTAAAATATTTCCGTCCAATACTGTTATTTTATTTTCTATTTATTGCTAAGTCTAATATCTTATTTTTGTACGTAGTAAGTGCCTATTAAGTGAAAAGAAATAGATACATTGCTTTTAGATAAATAGGTTGGTAATAACTCTATTATACGAATCTGACATATACCCATTAAATACATAAAATTTTATCCATTAGAATGGCGAACAAGCTAACAGCCCACTAATGGAAAGTGGTAACTGTTGCCAATATACATGGACAGCACCATAAATATCTCACATAATATCTGCATTGTGACGCTCGTAGTACCCCTCATGCGTTGCCATACTTAAACACTTAGGTGGTGTAACAATACTGGCCCTGGAGTAGAGCGAAGGGAGCAGCGCCTTTTGAAAGGCATAGTTAGCTGCTAAATCATTTTTTTTAAATCCATAAGGTATCGCTTAAAACTCTATATATTAGATAAATTCGAAAGATTTACTGAAAATTTGTGTATTATTTATTTAACATAAAACTGATGTAGAATTTACGTGAAGTGAAAGCGTCGTCCAAAGAGCGCAGAAATACAATCTCGCTCTACCCTGATCAAGGGTTAGGGCCGGCACTGGTGTGGTGTCTCTTTAATCTGTAATTTAACTGATTAATGAGAAAATGTACAATATACCTAATTTTTTCTTTATTTTACTTGATTTTAGATAATAATAAAGATTAGAGTAAATAAAATGAAATCAACGTGAAGTCGTTGCCTGCGACAAGAAGTAACTCGATCTATATCTATGCTTATTAAAAAGAATTATCAATACCTACTTGTATAGATTATTAATATAAAATTTAGAATAGTGCCTGTCTATTTTAAGCGTATAATATTAAAGATTTTTGGTACATAATTTAAAATCCCTGACGTAGCTTTCATCGATGTAATATCTATAAAATACAAAAGATATGGCACCAATATTATTTTTATTCAAATAAATGTATTTAATTTTATTTGAACAATTTATAATAATAATATACAAAATTATTATTATTATAAATTACTCATAATTAATAGAACATTTCCTGGATCAATTTCTGCTTAAATAAAACAGTAATTATTGGTTTACGAGGTTTGTCCGGAAAGTACGTATAAAAGTTTTTTAAAAATTTTATTTTATTATTCATCAATTTTATAAAATACAAATGCAGATATGTGAGAAGGCTCCTTGAAAGTCCTCTGGTTGTAATATTTTTTTTATTTTTATGTCCCCCAAATGCCGCCCCCGAAGTACCAATTTGGTTTTGGGAACAAGAAGAAGTAAATCCGTATTTCGGTCACCGTAATGGAATTTTTACTCAAAAACTCACGGAACGATCTTGGCGCAAATTTTTTTTTCATTTGAATAATAATTTTGCCCAAATACAAACCGTTAAACGACGGTTTATTATTATTATAAAAGGACGTCCTGAACGTTCATCTTGAACAATAATTAATCCCCATAGTTCTGAGATCGGCAAAAATTTCACGGCCATTCTTGCCGAGTTTCGAGAGAAACTTGATTACAAAGCGGGCTCCATGCCGACGGGGTTTCGTTAAGAGGTAACTTAAATAAAACAGTTGTTAGGGACATTATTGGAACACTTTTATTTTCCGGACAGACCTATTTATAAAGCACATCAAGAGTTAGGAGTTGATCTCCATAGTACGAGATGGTGAAGTGAAGCAAGTGAGACTACGTGTGATCCAGGAGGGGTTATCTCTAACATACCTATAGGTTTGGTGCTATACTGCACAATTATTTTACAAATTAATATTAAGAATTAATTATGTATAAAAACTATTATATCTCTTTTTATATTTAAATGACAGAGTAGTTTTGTAGTACTTAAATGACTGTGTATTTTGTATTAAATTAATTAAAGTGTCGTGTCATTAATGACGTAGTTTTATTTATTATCACATCAGATTAATGGCGAAGTACCGTATATGATGGAGCAATTATAATTTAATCTTTTTTGATAATCTAATGATAAAATACAGGGGGTGTTAATTATTAATGTGGGTGAGCTATTTCTTAAAGACACTTGAAAAATTCTTCTTCCTGTCCTTTTCGCATATCTAATTAAGGTCGGCGTAATATGTTTTCTTCTTCCATTCATTCTATTTCCAATCATCTCACTAGTTACTCCCTTCCTGGCCATGTCATCTTTCACACAGTCGATCCACCTTTTTTAGACGCTTGAAAAATTAAACTTGGAAAATTCTTCATCTTCACTTTGGCTCAATTTTATGAATGTAAATACAGGCCCTACTGTGCCTACATATTAAGAATATTTCACAATTAGAAGTGAAATATTAAATACAATTTTAACGTTAACATTCCTTATTCTAGCTACGTCGTGTTGCTTCATATGGACTACTACAACTTAGGTATAGATTCATTCTCATCTATCACCCTTCACTGGTGCTCCGCCAGCGTATCCCGTTAGCGCAGGCGAGGTTACCATACCATATTTACCCATTAAAAAAAAAACTTAGGTATAGAAATTATTGCTACATTTAATTCATTATCATTTACGTTTAGTGAATTATATTTTATTGTCCCAGTGATATCGGCTTTAACATATAATGCCAGCAATTTTCGCTCGTATTGATCTAATGTTGTACTCCCTTGTTTTTGTTCCCTATTGAAAGAGAAATATGAATTATGATTTTTTATTTACTGTGCTAAAGCCATTATTATTTTCCTCTTTATAACCCAATCGCCCAACTACTAACAGAGTGCAGTCGATGACACACGAATAAATCCGAACCAGCAACCATCCGCGATTATATATATACATATTACTATACTAATAATAACAATTTATTTAATTAATAATATAAAAATGTAAACTATGGGTATATACCTGAAAATAAAGAGATTTATTATTATTATTATTATTATATATGCAACTTAAAACAGCAAACAAGCTGATGGCCCACCTGATGGAAAGTAGTAACTGTCGCCTATAGACATGAGCGGTACTATGACAAAGTATACTGTTACACCCATGATACTCCCCATGCGTTGCCATTCCTGAGGACTCGTGTGTTATTCCTCTGTGCCCTGTAAATTCGCTGCCATATCCTTCAAACTGAAACAAAGCCTCCGTCTGTGCTATTTTTTTAATCTCATCATAAATAAATTACTTTCATCGACGTTCGTGAAATGAGTAAACAACTTATTCAGTTTAAAAATTCAAATATCTACTCCAAATGTGAAGAAAATCATAATAATATTTAAAATAAATAAAAACCCAAAATTATTGTACAACAATAGCTATATAATCACATAGTACATAAACAAGTACCAACCTAATCAACATTTTCTATATCCAAATAATCAAAAGCAATAATCAATTGTTGTTTGAATTACCATATCGTAATATCTGACAATTTTATTACTTACATAGTATAATAATTTTAGACAAAATTATATACAATTCAAGTTTATTGTACAATATTGTTTATTGACCACCTCAATTCGGTTCATCCTATCACATAAATATATATTTGAAAATGCTACTAAGGTATTAAGAAGATTTATTTATAAAATTACTATATAGCATTGGCTTCATCGATGAATTTGTATAAAAACCTGAGTTTCCGAATCTATCCACTAGAGGCGCTGCTGTTTTCAATAAAATTATCAGCGACGTTCATAGATATGTAAATGTATATGCTAACGTAGCAGTAACATAAATCTTTTAAAATCAAACTAAACACTTAGAACGTTAACTTAGGATTTAAATCGTACCTATTTCATTTTTAGTGCAGGTGGCATATTTTTTAGGACCGTTGTAGAATTGCTTTTCAAATGTCGAACTGAAATAGTAATTTATAAATACGACCATTCAAGTAAACACTAATAGACTGCGCAGATGATGCATTTTGTGCGGACAAAATTTCCTTTTATATATGCATCATATTTTCATGTTTTTATTTCCGATAAAAGACTATCCTTGATCGAGTTTTATACCAGTCATAAAAATCCCTAAAATTGTAAGATACAAAATGCCCATAGATAAAATTTCCATCGTCTACGCAGGCGTTTAGGTCACATGTATAGTCAAATTTACATTGCTTATAGTGTTCTGAATGTGTTCAGAGTTCATTACTACTTTATCTGTACATAAAACAATAATACCGACAATTTACGCCTTAGCACCGCATTTAAGTATAGGCTACATAGGCGAGCCTAGAGATCTCCGCCATTAAAAAGCTTTTACCACAAATGGACAGAATTGGTTAGGAAATTAGATAAATGGAAAGTGGGATTTTAATTTTCTACCATCGTGTGATGAAATTTTATTACTAGCAACACTGACACCATAGCTGGGGATTCCGTCTAGCCATTTAATAAACAATATTAAATCAATAATTTTATCTCTATCTAATATATTCAATTTTAAATACTGTATATTCCTGGTAAAATATAATAACGTTTTCTGTACGTACAGTGGGGTTCCGCGACCACAGATATAATCTAGTGGCTACAGACCTTAAATGCGGTACTGTTGTTCCTACTTATAAAAATAATATATAATATCATTTTTTTATTTTAACGTTTTCTTTTCTCAAATCTTATTACCAAAACATCCACTAACAGCCAACACAAATTACTCGACGCAACTTCTAAAACACAGATTTATACGTAAAAAAACTAAAAAGAAAATGATAAATAATTACATTAAGTAAATAATTTTATTTGGAATATTTTAACTATATTACAAAAGATTACAAAAATAAATAACATAGAATATAGAAATTTAAACTACCGACGTAAAACAAAAACTGATATAAAGTAAAAATGAACCACATTCATTACTTACATTTCAACCGACTTCAAAAAGGAAGTAAGCACTTAGACTTTTTGTGTATGATATGCCACGTAATATACGTAAAAAATAACATCCGTGATAAATTCGTCAATCCTGCAGCATTGTTTTGTTTTGTACAACAAAACATGTCATCCTGTGTGGATCGCATAGTCACTTTTAATTGAAAATTAATACCGTTAAAGATATCGAAATTTCGTTAGACAAGCTAGTGACAGTAGATGAAAAAACTCCTGCCACCTACATTAACTTAACGTTACATTACTTGTTTTTACTTCAATCTATTCTTCAATCGTGACCACCCACGGTTAATACAACATAGTCGAAACATTAATTGAAGTAAAAGCGATAAACAATACTTTTATGTTTTATATGGGAATGAATGTGGTCATTTAGGTAAACTATAATTTGCCTAAATTATTACAAAGTTACCGGTTCCGAGGCAGAAATATTCTTTTCTAACCTCTCAGCGACCCTCTCCACACTAATTGTGTCACTATATTAAGTTTCTGCATACTACAAAAAGAGAATTTTATTGGATTCCTAGGTTACAGGTCGCGGAGTTGGAAACCATTATCACGTTAATTCCCGTCTCTTATAAAACACACAGTGCAAAAGTCTAAATGTTGATAAAAAAATAATATTTTCCCCCAATTGAAGCCGGTTCCTTGTTAAACAAATTGTTATCTACGCTAGTAAGAATTATATGCAAAATAACAACTGAATAAAGTAAACAATAACGACATATTTTACTATGTCAAAGATAATAATTTACAATGTCACAATAATGATGCATTTAAAATAGATACTATACGATTTAACTATTCTCAGCCAACATTTTCTTTTTCTTCAAAACCTCATCCCACACTTTCAGCGCCACACTCGCATCTGTTTCTTTACATTCGTATGTTGCATTTGGATGTTTTCTAGTATAATGCCTCAATACATTCTGTTTGTGGGAAAATTTCTTTGGACAAACATTACAAGAGAAATGTTTTTCATTTGTATGCGTTTTCATATGGTATTTTAGTCTACTTTCTTTCGGGAACTTCTTCATACAGACGTCACAGGTTAAATGCTTGACTTTGTTGTGCCTCAACGCGTGCCTTTGCATATTATGTTTGTGAGCGAACAATTTGTTGCAGACCGGACACTCGTAAGGTTTCTCCCCGGTGTGTATTCTCATGTGCGGCTTAATTAATCCGGGATGGGTGAACGATTTATTACAAATACTACATGCATACGGTTTTAAGCCGTTGTGCAGTTGAATATGTCTGATCAATGTACTTTTGTATTTGAAATTCATGTCGCACAATTCGCAGGAGAAAGGCTTGTCGGTTGTGTGTCTACGTAGATGACTTTTCAATAAGAACTCCCTCTTGAAAACTTTATTGCAAACATGACACACTATAGGCTGGTCTATGGGCCGTTTGCACCGGCTTTTGCCTTGATGTTTTAACAAATTCGATTTCACCGCGAAACCCCTGTGACAAACCTCGCATACAAATTCTTTGTGGATTGCATGGATTCGTTTATGCTGGAACAAGTTTGATGAGGTTCGAAATTTTTTGCCGCAATCGTTGCAGTCATATAATTTCTCGCCTGAGTGTACCGAAACATGCTTGTCTAATAATAATTTCTTAGTAAATTCTTTCTGGCAAACGTGACATGTGTATTTTGTTCTGGTGTGCAGAGGTAGATGGCGCTGTAAGTTGGCGTTACTGGCAAAATTCTTGTTACATATGAGACACATGTATTTCACCTCCGAGTTATCTTTGAGGTAACGCTCTGGTAGACTGGTCAGAGTGACTGGAATGAAAGTAGTCTGTTAATATAGATTAAAAGTGATAAAAAAATAATACACTCCATGGAAATAATGTAAATAAAACATAAGAGATATGTAGTCAGAGGCAGTTCACTAATTGGTAGATTTTAGTATAAAATATTTATTTTATTAACTAATAATTAATTAAGAAAATATCATCAGAATTTTTTTTTTAAATTTTCACATACATTTATTTTTAAATAATCAACATTTACTTAACAGACAGGCCGACATTATAGGACAGGATATTGTGACAAGTACAAAGAATCCCAGTAAGATAAAAACGTTGTACAAGTACAATAAAGACAGGGTGAGGATAGCGTCAAAGTCGTGTCTTTGACTTCTTTTGATATTATTTATTCACGATATATGTTATGCTTTACATATAAGCCATATACTACTTATACTTTACGGGTTGTCAGGTTGACTGAAAGAAATACCTTCAAAGGATAAGTCCACCTGCATACTTTGTCATGTGCTTTATAACCTGATATCTATATTAAATGTAAATATATAAAATAAAGCTCAAACAAAAATAAATTGTAAAAAAATGCACACATTGTCCACACGACGCAACATATTGGTATTTATCATTGGAGGTCAAACAATTATGTCACCAAGAATAGGTGACCAACGAACGGTGGTACTATCATATAATACTTCATAACACCATCATTTTTAAACTAATCTCCTTGATATGGAAAATTTTTATCTGAAAGGGATATAGTTACAAATTGGCTTCATAGGAATTTTAACAAAATTGGTTCAGTAGATTAGTTTTTAACCACAATAACTGGTTTTGTTATAATTGGATATTTTTGTGGGACCCAATCTTTAACTTCATTCAACATGACAGAATATCTTTATCAAGGATTTCTATGTGCCAGAAATGCAAATATACTCTGCCATTTGTGTTAGCAACTGTCACATAAAACTTTCACATTTCCAATACGAATAGGAAAGTAGCACAAGATAGCTTGTTTTATATCAATCCTATGCCTACTATTATAAATAATAATAATATACATTAAGAACTTAAATTTTTCTTTAAAATTACAATTGTTTTTAATTTTGACATCCTTATCCTTACTTCTACAAACAATAAATGTGAGTGTTTGCTTATATTCATAAGCTATGGTAAGTGTACCATCAGGCGGGCCGTATACTTGTTTGCCACCACGGTTGTATAAAAAACTCTTGGTGATTTAACAATACAACCAATGATCATGAAATTTAACATACATATTATAAAATCAATATGGACACCGTTTTATCTCTGAGGTCATGTTGACAAAGTCATGGGTAAAAACTAAAAGTTCTATATCATAGGTAATAGGCCATGTCACTAACCTGGGTAAACAAAGTTGGACGTATTGGGTTCAAAAATTGGATGCTCCACTAGGACTGTCTCTGGTTCAACCTGGAAAAATATTCAAATTTCAGTGTAATGTTTTTTTTATTCAAATTTTTAGTAAGTGTTCAATACACCTGGGTGATTATGCCAGTCTGATGGAGGATGTATGCACGTAAAGTTTTTTTATGGATGATGATGGAATGGCAACCCTACCTACGCTATTGGTATATCCTGGCAGTGAGAGATGAAAAGTGAGGATGTAAGCAGGCTAGTTCACCCATAGTGACGAATTCCACAAGTATTAATCAAAATTTCAACTAGAGAGAAATGTGTGGAGGTTGACCTCAGGATGTATTGCTAGCAATGTTAGAATCCCATTATTAATAAATCCTTTCTCCCGCATGTAAGATGTCGAGTTTGAATTTAGGAACAAATGGTTTAATACCTAGAAAAAAATATAATGTACTTTGAAAATTATTTTTCCAATCTACAGGGTTAACATCTGTGTTGGTCCCATATTTATTATATCCCTACCTAAGTTGGTAATTATTTGTAAAACAAATTAAAAATATTTGATTGCTATTCTGTTAGGAATTACATGTATACGTACAATATAGTTACAGTCTGGATCCACTGGTTCAGTTTTAACGCTCACAATAAACTCATTGCGAGACTCTTGGGCTGCTGGTTCTGTCTTTATCGGTCGATGCCATGTTGGTGCTGGTGGAGGGCTGGTTGGTTCCTCGCTATAATATTGAGGCTCTTGCTTTATCCTAGTGAAAAACATTGTTAGTTAGCTAATTGTAATATTGAATCAATTTGCTGTGGCATATTAGATTTAAATTTGTAGGTTTTAGATATTTATTACTATTACTCATTAAGAATTATATATTCACTTAACATGGGAACAATATGTATACAAAATAAAGTTACTAAATAGACCTACATTCAGAATAAATATAAAGTAATTTACCTAATATTTTAATACTATATCAGGCACAGATATATGTGTATGTACTCTATATGTGTGCTTACTAGATGTGGCTTAAATTTTAAAATTTATCTATCTAGACATTTCAGTGTTACTTATTTATTTATTTCAATTGATTAGTTATTATTATTTCTAAAGCTTGTAAGGTTGTATTACATAATAATACACTAAATAAAGATGGATATTATATTAATGAAAACACTGCCACTAATGTATTATTCATTTACAAACATATTAATTATATTAACTAATTATAACTAACTATATACTAAACACACATAAGTCCTACATTTGTATAAAAACATTATTAGAACTTATTAATAGTTTATTTTTAACATAGTGTTTTAAAAAGGTTATGAAAGTAAATAATGACTGTGTTTCTTTAATATCTTTCAGGAGTTTATTATATATCTTCATACTCTCATACAGAATAGACTTTTGACCATAATTTGTTCTTGGTGCCCATAATACTAAATTGTTAATGTTACTTTTCATTTTTTGTATTTTTTGTTTTTCTTTATAAAACTCATCTGCATATACCAATATTTTTTATTTATATTTCATAAACTGATAAACATAATAACTGATATAATATTTATAGGTTTGAGTTATATCCAATAGTTTCATTTCGTTATAAATTTTATGAGTAGATTTAGAATAATTATTATTGAAAAAGTCCTTTTATCAAATTGTTTTGTATCCTTTGTGTTGAGTTCAGATTATTTTTTGCAACTATGCCCCAAATTTCGATTAAGTAATCAATATGAAGTTTAACAAGAAAGTTATAAATATAGTAACATACTGCATGAAAAGAGAAAAGCATATTATGTAGCAAATTAAAATATTATACCTAATATAATAAAACTAGCTTTTACCTACAACTTTATCCATGTAAAAAAATATGTTCACTGACTAGGATAGAAATAGTAGCCTGTGACCTTCTCTAGCCCCTATAGGATGTGTATACTAAATTTCATTATAATTGATTAAACTGTTAAGGCACTTAAAAGTAACAAACAAACTCATTTTCACATTTATAATATTAGTAAGTATGTAAAATATGGAAGAATAGAGGAATTAATAAAAAGACCAAAGTTTGATTGATACATGTCCTGAGCTTCTCTATTTTCCTATTTACATCCATGATATGATCATAGAAGCTTAGCATTAAAAGCCAGAATGAGACATTTAAAATAAGATGCTAGCTCAAAATGTTAAGTATTCCTTGGACAGGGTGCAATGCATTTCGCTTCACACATTGGAATAAATGATCAGACATGAATTAGATAATTTAGAGAAGCTCATTGTTGTCAGTCATATAGAAAGAAAAAGGGATGGAGTAAGAGCACCAACATGTTGCACCAATATGATAAAAGAAGCTTGCCAATAAAGTTTGACAGTGCATTGGCTTGCAAAGTAACATTTTCATGTGGTTTTTTAATGAATGATAATGGAATGGCAACTACACTCATGCTAACAGTATACGCTGATGGGGCACCAATGAGGGATGACAGGTGAGAATGAAAAGACAGGTCAGGACAGTTAGCCCATCATGATGAATACACCTGGGTTTCAGCACAATGATTTCCAGGGGAGACCACATGGAGGTTGACGTGACAGGGTATATTGTTAGCCATGGGACTGGTAGTATGCATTACTAACAATCCTTCCAAATCCAAGGAGGGGGCTCCTCATGTGGTTTGTTTTCTTTTTAATGGATGAAAATGGAATGGTAACTCAACCTGCGCTATCGGTATTTGCTGGCAGGGCCCCAGTGAGGGTTGATAGGTGATGATGAAAGCAGGTCCGTTAGCCTATTGTGACAAACTCCACTAGAATTAACCACTATAGTTTCCAGAGGAAACCATGTAGAGGTTGACCTGATAGTATGTATTGCTAGTAATGGGGAAATTAGACCCATTACTAACAATCCCTTTCCCCCCTCATGTGATTACAAACCACACTGATGAAGAAATGAGAGAAAAAGGATTAAAAAAATGAGTTTGTGTCTTTATTACCACTTAGCAAGTCTCTCGAACAAGAAATTTAGCATACACATTGTTTTTGGGACGAAGAAGGCACAGGCAAGTTTTTAATTCAGTCAATCAATATATTCCAGTAAAATGGTCTGTTATAAGTATAAACTAGTACTTATATAAACTAAAGCTGTGTTCTGAAGGTTCTTTTTATAAAAACAGTAAATAGCTTACTAGTCCCTTACAATACACAAGTTAGTCACTAGGTGCATTGTCCTTAATGAAATAAATATATTTTATAAGTAAGTATAATATAAATTTCTATATGTTTGATAACTGAGCTGTTGTACTTAAGAATTTAATAAGTCCAAATTAAACTGTTTTGTATTATCAAAATCAAGAGTATAGAAAAGGGTGAAAGGACAAAAACAAATATGGGAATTCTTACTTATAATTTGGAGCTAGTTATTAAGAAAATAGGCACATTATATGGGACGCTCATATCATTAAACTCCAAAATACTATTAATGTGATGTCACCAAAATGTATCAGTGGGTAAAAATACAGTTAGTATCATAATAAGGGTTTTTAAATACTTTTAATAAAAAAAATAAACAATAACCAATGCACTTACCTGACTTCGGGAATACTAGGTATTTCCTCCACCTCTGTTTTTATACTTATAAATTCGGGTTGTATATCGGTAATTTCCGTTCCATTATTATCATCTTCAGGAGCCTTTTGCGAGTTGTCACTCTCGAGCTGTATAATGATGTTAGTGGTCTCGGTAGACATATTAACAGTTTATTATAAATTTATAATATTGGGAAAGTCATCTCACTATATTTTTTATTTGTAACTGGGTCAAAAAAACGTAAAAGTATTAACGTATACAATTAACAATTCGGTACCACAATACCGCTACGTTCAGATTTCGGTACCATTTGACGTTTTTGATAAGTCAATCACAATGTCACCATAATGTCAGTCACACAAAATAAAGGTGTCGAGCAGTCATTCCAAATATCTTCATTATCTGACCATAATGAAAAAATATAGAATATTTTGAGAAGTATAGACATAAATTGAATATTTATTATTTGTGCTAAAGTTTCGCTACTACCCAAGTAATAAAATATAACATTATATTTATAGTCATATTTATTAAATATATTGTCATTATTTAAATTTTATTGCACAAGATATTGTAATTTTTGCAATGCTCTTGCAGTAGTATTATTGGAAAGCCAGAGCCGTAAAACGTATATACAGAATGTCCCATAAGTCATGGATCAAACGGATACTTGCCGCAGTAGGGTCATGCCCTATCAAAAAAATAAATAAACAAATATCAAATATAACAATAATTACAAATAAGTGGGATTTTTTTATTTTTCTAAAAATATTTCTACTGAGATGACTATTGATTTTTAAATATTTAATAAAATTTTGCATTCCACAAAATTCTTTTCTGTTATAATAAATAATGAAATGAATTTTCATCATTTATTATAATCGAAAAATCGTTATTACATCTGGAAAGTCTGTAACTTCAAATCTGTCTATATAAGTAGAGGTATAATTTTTTTACAAGATTTTTAAATCATTAAAGTTTATAATAATATTGTGGAAATAATATCAGTTATAATATAAAATAATGTTACATATAAATCTTGTACATTGAAAATTGGAACTTCATTTGATTTGTATAGATTCAATATATAAAAGCTCTATAAATTCTTAGATTTACTAAGAAATGACCTAACTTTGTGCATGAAGGACATAAGTCATGTCTTTTTTTTCATAAATGTGTTCACAGATATTTTCTTATTTAAATAATTTATAAGAAAAAAAAATTATCTACGATACAATTACCAGAGGGAGACTTTGTACAAAAGTCGATTGCTTGGGTATCTCTGTCCCATTCGTGTTTCAGCCGTGAAACAGTTGTGTTTGCATGGCTGTGTTTCGGTTTGAAGGGTAGGATATGGCGTGAATTTACTGGGTACAGAGGAATAACATCTGAGTCCTCAGGAATGGCAACGCATGAGGGGTATCATGGACGAAACAGTATACTCTGTTATGTCCATAGTACTGCTCATGTCTATAGGCGACAGTTACCACTTTCCATCAGGTGAACCGTCAGCTTGTTTGCCATTCTAAGTTGTATAAAAAAAATGCCAGAAATTGTCTGTAGGTATATAATTTTTCCCCATTTTGATTTACAGTTAATTTTCCAAACAAATCTTATAATATGTCCAAACCTTACAAATTTATTTGCGCAATTTTCAGTGTGCACACAAACATCTAATTTTTAATTTGATAATATTAATCAACTTTGATTTTTATTGTCCATAAAAGTAAAGACTTCGAATTGAAATCTTTATCTACCTCCTCAATCACAATCTTAAATAAATGGATATTTTACTGCTGATTTTGACTCTTTTTTGGACATTTTTATGTAAGTTAAATTAGTACAGATCTTTTTTTTTTTTTTTTTTACAACACAGGAGGCAAACGAGCATGCGGCTCACCTGATGGTTGACTAATTTGATTGCAGGTGTGCTGCCGGCCTTTTAAAAAGGAATATGCTCTTTTCTTGAAGGTTATGTTGTCGATTTTTGCTGGATTGATTCCAAAGAGTGGTTCATAAAAGTAAAAACGCACGGTGGAGGACCGCCACTTGTCCAGATGATTGGGATGAAATTTTTTTATGGCGGGTTGTACGATGGCGAAAATCTGCAGCAGGTATCAATCAACAATTCTTCAAACACTATGATAAATGGCATATCTCTACGCAGTTCCACGAGCCGGATAGTAAGACGCCGATCGTCATTTTGACTGCCCGACTTTTTCTAACGGAAGGAGTTGGTACTGTGGCGCTCCTGCCCACATTTTTGTGTGGCCTCACTTGAGTTATATAGTTTCAGGCGGTTTTCTGGCGTGAAATAGTCTCATTGAGCACCCCCAACTTTTTGGAAGCTATCTTAGCTTTTTCCTCCAGATGACCGCAAAACTGACGTCGCTAGATATATTGACGCCAAGAATCTATTATTATCGAGGGAAGTCACGACAAACGGTTCTTTTTTGTGATCTTACATAAGGTAAGATATTAGTCTATTATTGTCACATTGTTTAGGTTTTATAACGATTTTCTTTCTCTTCCGTTTATTTATTGAAGTTTCTTTATAATAATAATTAAACTTTTTCAAAAGTAAGATCTTTTTAAAAAGTTCACTTATTATTGTTATATTTAATGTAGACAAAATTATTATGAGACCACCTAATAAAAGTGGGTGAACCCTATAGTATACAAATGAATCATCAAAATCCCTTCACAATTTTTGAAGATAACATTTAACATCATCATACCGTCTACTGCTAAACATAAGCCTTCCACATAAAGAGAGTTTTGCCGGTAGTAGTACTTGCTACGCTTGTGGGACAGGTTGGCAACCGCAGTTAGGCTTTTAGTGATGTTTTAAGAGGGACGCCACTGTCCATCCCTCTACCATATCCATATAATTCTATATTCCATATTTTTTTTTTATTTTAGGGCAATTGTCTCTTATACATGAAAATATAGTTAAATGCATGGTTGTCAGTATGCCAAGAATTTTAAAAAGTTATCAAGATTCAATTCTGTTACCTGATTATTATAAACCAACTGAATATTACTACAAAGTAATAAAGTATGTACCTACCAGATCTCCTTTACTTCTAAAGGAAAAAAAAATCAGAGTTTTATAGTGTAGTAGATAAACTATATATTTAGATGACTCCAATAAAAACAACTTTTTCGATTTTTAAATGATAAGGCGTCAAGAAGTAAAAACAATAACAAATTAATTTTCACATTTATAATATTAATAAGGATTTAAAATACCTAATATACCTAGTTCCACAGACGTATTTATATAATATATAGCTATATCCTGCGGCTTCATCTTCATGAATCAGTACACAAAGTATTCTATGTACTAAGTTAGGATATAACTTACGCGTGTGTCAAATTTCATTTAAATATATTTATAAGTGTACAAATCTTTGAAATTTAAAATATTACTGTAGTCTATTTATTATATAACTAGTATTGTAGTTTTTATAAATTTTCTTAATAATAATTATATATTATGAATACCAGTATATAACAAAGGCGACCTTTAATCTGACGCCATTTTATAATGTAACCATATTATCATGAATTTTAAGTAGATATAAATGTATGCTTTGTTGGTTGTCCTTAAATAAATAAATAAATAAATATATTCTGTAGTTTTTGCGTGAAAGGGTAATAAATATCCATCCATCCATGAATTGTTACAAACTTTCGCATTTATTTATTATTATGTACTAGAGTTAGGCGGTTTTATGTACCTACCGTACGTAGTTCGTTATGCTTGGCCAGTATATAACAAAGGCGACCTTAATCGTTTTACCAGAAAATTATTCATTCATTTATTTAACAGTTAACGTCATTGCTTCCCCATAAGATGAATTTTGCCAATAAATACCACGCTTGGCAAGCAAGTTGGCAACCGCAGTTAGGTTTTCAAAAATATTTTAAGAAGGACGCTGCTGCCCATCTTTCGAATATAAAAACCATAAGGGAACTTTAGTCGCCTCCTGCGACGTTCACGGAAAAGGAAGCGGTGGCCTATTCTATGCCGGAACACACGCGGCCATTATTGTCATTTACATGAAAATACATTTCACAGACCGCCAGATGTAGAAAGCTTCCGTCGTGCCAAGGATATAGCAGAACAAGTAGTATACAAAAAAGATAAGTCAAAAAAGAATGACATGAGCTTCTATGAACCGTACTGGAAAGATGGAGATTGGGTTTTTGATGTGTAAGTACAGTCTCAACTAATCAGGGGACAAAAACAAAGTAAGATATACATATATGTACATATTTAAATATAGATTACTGCCCGCTACTTCGTATGCATGCTTTTAGTTAGTTAAACCTATATATGTATGTATCAAAATAAAATATAAGTTGGATTTTAAGTTAGACCTTCTGGAATACAGTTATGAAAACTGCATGCAATTTGGCACAGTAGTTTTTGCGTAATGTTAGGACAATAACATACAGACAGACAGACCGTCAATACAAAAATACTTAATAAGATCCCTCATATTATTTTCCCTTAATGTCCCCAATGTACACGGCTAGTTATAATTTAGATACGTTAGTACAATAATTTTCCATGCAATTTTGCTGGTATCTTTTAAAGGTGCATATATACTTCAAACATGTCTTAACGAAGCTTTACTCGCATCCTGAAAGTCGATCAGTTCATCGTAATGAATTCACAAGGAACTGACCACGACGGTTTTTTGAGTGCACTACATCGACCTCAGGTCGGTCAACCTCCACATAGTTATCTTGGAAACCATGCAATATATATATATATATATATATAGCTTATCAGATTGACGACTTGAGGGATATGTTATATATTGTCATCGTGATTGTTCTTAGGAGGTAACGGGGAACAAAAGATGTGGCCCAAGATCAGGGACAAATAGTGAGCTTTAAAAGGGACGCCGCTGCCCATCCTCCACCATCAAGTTCCCTTAGTTGACTCTTACGTATTATATTGCATATACAATGTTTGTATATTTTACATATACAATGTTATTTTTCAAATATTTCATCATTTTCCTACCCTTATCCCAAATTATTTGGGGTCGGCGTAATATGTTTTTTATCCATATTACAAAAAGATTTGGCTTATAGTTTTACGACCGGCCGCCTGCTTGACGTCAACCCTCTTTGGGACCCTACGTTCAAATGGATCTTTTTGTTTCCAATTATGATAAGGCAATAATATGTATTATCTATGCTATGTCGCACAATACTCTTCCATTTTATCATATCATATAATATATATTAATCTACTTTTTTTAATAATAGCTGAAGAAGTGGACTTGTTAT